CCGCTGGCGGCCTCGGGCCTCCTCGACGCTCCTGTCGGGTGCGCGCGAGCGGGCGCCGCCCGGCCCCCACTCCTTGCCCCACTTAAGTAAGAAGAGTCGGCTGGCAGGGATGCGGTGGTGGTTGCCGGAGGGGGCGCACTAGCTTCTGGGGTACCGGCGCCGCCGTCTGTAAAACCGGGCGAGGCTAGGTCGGGGCTCCTGTCCGCGGGCCATGGGTGCCGCGCCGGGGTCCTTTCCCTGTCCGGGCTGGCCGCGTCCCTCCCACTCCCCCGCGGCCCCGAGATGTCCCGAAGTTTAAAGTCAGCGCAAACCGCCCTTCTGGCCACCCCAGCTGCGAGGTCACGCCGGGCCCAGCAGCTTCCCTCGCACTGAGGCGCTGACCCCGCTCTGGCGGCGGCAGCCCATGGGCTGCTGGGTGGAGCCCGGCCCAGAGAACCGCGCCCCCCCCCACGAGCGCAGGGGGCGCAGGGCCCAGCGAGGCCCTGAAGGTGTGGGCCCCCAGAACCGCCCCGCCTCCCCAGGAGCGCAGGGGGGCCCAGGGCCCAGCGAGGCCCTGAAGGTGTGGGCCACCCTGCTGCAGGCCCCCAGGGAGCACACGGCCCCAGGCCGCCGCCCAGCGTGGCTGGCACCAGAGGCTGCCTGCGCAGGGGCCTGAGGACATGGCCACAGGACGCCTGGCCTCCAGGACGGGCCAACGACAGCTGTGTGGCTGCCTCTCCTTGGGAGGCCCACACTGACCGTCCAGCCCTCCGCCACCGCAGGCGTGGCCGGTGGGTGGGGCCAGCACCACTCTCCCCGCCTGGGGCACTGGACACGCCCTTGCCCTCAGCCCAGACACCTCTGCCCCGGGCCTGCTGCCACTCCCCTTGCTGGGCCCTGACTCCGGGCAGTCAGTGTCTCCCCAGGAGGCTCCCGGGGGACTGGACCGGGCCTCGGTCAAGGCCACGCCACAGATTTGAACCTGGGACCCTTTGTCCAGAGCACGAGTTCTGCGCCCCAGGCCCTGGCCCCTCCCCAGGCAGCTCCTCCCCCACAGGGCCGGCCCCTGGCCTCTGGCCTGGCCTGGGCCTCCTGCTGCCCGGCAGACTCGTGGCGCCTGGGCCAGGGCAGTGCAAGGCACACGCTCCGCCTGAGGGCGAGGCCAGGGCAGTGGCAGCGTCCACCGCAGACTCGGTCGGCCCGCGGCGCTGGGCCTGTGCTGGCAGGGCGAGGGCCTCCCCGACCCGGCTGCCCACGCCCCCCCAGTGCTGGTCCTGGGCACCCACAGCTCGGAAAGGCCCAGGGGTGCGTGTGGGCTGGGCCTGGGTCCTTCCGCCCTGAGCCCTCGGGTCCCTCTGGCCCTTGGGACTGTTTGGACGTGGCTGAGCCGCGGCCTGGGAGGGCCACAGGAGCCGGCCCAGCGGGCAGAGGGTGGACGCGGCGGTGCAGGACAGGGCTCTGCTGGGGCCCGGGCAGCCGCCTCCTGCCCTTGTGTTTGGGGTGCGGTGGGGCCGCTGAGTTCAGGTGAGGGGGAGAACCAGAGGGGCCTCCCGCCCTCCCCAGCGCCCGCCCTAGATGCTCACTGGGGCAAGTGGCCACTCGAGTCACCCGCCCGCCCGCCTCGCTAACGGCCTGCAACCTGGGGACCCAGTGAGCCCCTCTTTCTCCCCCAGCCTCCCCTGACAGGGGTGTGATTGTTGCTGACTGGGGACACCAATGGATTGGAGGGGCGCCAGGCTGGTGAGGGGACTGATTTGGGGGTTAGGCGTGTCCCTGCCCCCAACCTGACCCCAGAACGTCCCTTCTCTGCCCTGTTTGCCTCTCACATCAGAGGGAGCACCTGCACCCCCTTCCTGCCCTGCGACCCTGGGGGCGCGCAGCAAGAGCAGGGGCGCGGAGGGTCTGCGAGAGCTTTATGTTGGGGGGGTGGGAGCAGTGGTCACCGCGGGAAGGTGCCGTCCTCCCCCTTCTCCTCCAGGATGGCCTCCACACGCCGCCGCTGCAGGGAGAGGGGCTGGGGCCAGGTGTGCGGACGGGCGGGAGGGTCCCCCCGCCCCTCGGGGCGCCCCGGCACCTCTTGGCGTTCCAGGGGGTCCGGGATGCGCGTGGGCTTCAGTTGCGGCGGCAGAAACAGCTCCAGCCGGATGGCGGCGCGCGCGGACGCCTGCAGCCGGATCAGGAGCGAGATCTCCTCCGCCTGGGCGGGCGGGGGCTCCTGCGCACGCGCGGCCACGCCTGGCCCGCTCTCCGCAGGGACGCTCGCTGGCGTGCAGCAGGACGTCCCTGCAGGCCAGCTGTGAACACGGACAAGGGCCACAGCCGGCAGGTGACCGGGGCCACGGCTGGACGGCGGGGGCGGCCCTCCCCTCCGGACACCTGCCTCGCTC